CAGCTGGGCTGGACACCACTGTTTTGATCCAGGACTGCAGTTTTGTTCCTCACATTGGCATTTCTTGCTGTTGTATGGTACCAGTCACTCAGCTACTAAGCACAGAGTTAAAGGATCACACTGCATGCATTTGACCTGACTGTCTGTCTTTGTGAATTAGTATGAGCCCTGGGTGGTTGGAGTAGCCGCAGGGATACCCAGCTTCCTGGCCTTGGTCCTTGCAGTCATCTTGGTGGTGGTCTGTGTTCTCCAGTGGAAGACCTACAGCTGGAATCAGGTGACTACCTTCCATCTCCTGGGTGCCTTGCTACTTCCAAGCCTAGACCTCCACATCAGAAACCTGATTCAACACCCTCTGAAGTTCTCAGGAAGTTCAGGACCACATCTCTAGGCACTCAGACTGTCTCTGCTCTGTTTCTCAAAAGCTGGACCTCAGCTTAGGAGGTGCAGGTTCATACCGATAAAAGAGAATTTCATATGAAAATACTGAAGGCACATCTCTAAATTATCTGTTAACTAGCAGGGAATTAAGAATCTATCACCACTGTTCTCCAGGGGATTTCTCTGTCATTTCCCACAGGAAATCATTCATTTAGGGATCCTCTCACTCCAAAATGGCGTTACTTAGCACCCAAAATGCTCCAAGATGTTTCATAGTATGTATAGCTTGGTCACCTTTTTTTTCTGTATTCCAGCCCATGGGGTGGGTGGGTCTTTGCACCTTGCCTACCTCCTCACTGCTGGAGTAGAGTCAGGGGTTTCTGTAGCGCCATGCTTCCTTCCTCTGGGTTGAAAAAGCACCCATATCACCGAAGAGATAGTCAACCTGCCCATGGAGGAAGAAAGCCATGAAGCACTCTTACAGCCCAGCATTGAAGGAAAGGGCCCTTTCCTTCCCCTGCCACTTTACAGATGTTTTTAACCAGCTCTAGTAATTGCACGGATCTTTCCTTACTTCTGAAAGAAAGGTGTAACAGTACCCAGGGAGATGACTTCCCTATAGTTGTTGTTGGTTAACATCATAATTTTTTTATCTTTTTTTTTTTTTTTCTTTTTCTGGGTGTAAATGTGAAAGTGAGGTTTTTCCCATGTGTTAAAAGACCAGACAGATATTGGATATTCTAGTAAGGGCAATACTCAGGCATAGAGGTTTCCCCTCTGCAAGGTCATTCTCATGGGCAGGCATCAAGGGGAGCCTGTGATTGTTCCAAATGAAAGAGCATTTTGGCATCCAGCTTAGAATATGTTGGATATTATCCCCAATATTATCCCCTGGGCAGTTATTTATCGCCTGTGTCCTGAGTTCTGGAGCTGTTTAGTAACAGAACGTTTTATCACTGCCCTGTGCTGCTTATGCAGTTGTTTGTGAATTGTAGCTAGATGTTGTTTGTCACTGTTTTGTTCATTGTTTCAGATGAATCAACATCCCAATGGGCAGGAAGAACATGAATATGAATCATCCCCTCCCAGACCTCCAGACGTACGTAATCTTTAAAATGATTCTCAACATAGCACACATGCTGCTGAGTGAGTTACTAAATGCAGGACTGGCTTTAAGGGTAGCCCTAGACTAACAGAGAAGCTCATGGTAAGATCTCTCCCCATGCTTATCTGGGGCTCCTTCATGACTGCTGGTTTTGGTTGCATGTGTGTCCATTTGGTGCAATCCCAGATGAAAGGCCAGCAATGGTTTGCCATTGTTTCAGAGTACACAGGCATTAGAGCTGCATCCTGCATGAACAAAAATGGAGGGAGGAAGAGGGATGAATCTGACATGTGAGCAAATATGGTATTTTCTTCAAAATACTAGCAAACATTTCCAAAGAGAGGTGGGAATTCTTGCATACTGTATTCTCTGCAGTACTCACAAGATCTCCGAGTACCTTGTGACAACCATCACAGAAATTATATTTTGCTCCTAGGACTTTTATATGACCATGATGCAGGCGACAACAAATGTCTATGTAAATGAAGATGCAGACAAACACCACAAACCAGACATCCAAAACCAACCAAAGCCCATGAGGGTGAAGAAGCCCAGAAGAGAGCCATCTGTGGTGGAATCCATTTATGAAAACCATCCGCCCTATCACTGAAAGCAAAGCACCAAATAGTGGCTGGGACCAGAAATAACAGACACTAGCCTTTTCCTGGACGCTAGGGGTCACACAGCTGCAGTTTATGAACAAGAGAGTTTCCTCTTTGTGCATACGTGAAATTCTGTGAAGGACAGGACAAAGAGATTCTATATGGGGAAAGAACTTGTTCGCAATGATGCCTCTGAGACATGGAAGCAAAATGAGATTCCCCTGGAGTACCCAAGCTCTCTGGGAGAGATGGTTTTGCTGTCCTCCTAAATTTAAATTAATTCATTTTAATAAAGAACCTTGCGGTGATGATGATGGTAGAAAAGAACAGCCAGAGAGTTGGTTGGAGTCCCTGTCAGGTGCCTGAGCTCCTTGCAACAGCCTGCAAAGGCAGAGATGTGCTTTTCATTTGGCAGGAGGAGTCCAGAACATAAGTGAGATGAAATGATATGCCCAAGAAAACTGGAAGAAAAATGCAACTCTAGCTGCAGAACTTAGCCCTCGTGATGGCAACTTACCTTAGTTCTCAGCAGTTCCTTACCTGCAATGTCCTCTCACTTGCACTGTTCTCTCCTCTGTACCTTGGCATTTCAGCTGCGAGGTGGGGTGTGATTCAGGCAGGAGACACCATCCAGAGGAAAGATCTCCTCAGCAGCTCCATCTTGACTCATGTGAGGATGCCAAGTGGCCACAATGACAGGTGGGGTTGTGCTGACAACTGGTCTCTCGAGGAGAGCAGAAGGCCTGGGGAGATGGTGGGAGGAGGACAGAGAGGAGCCATAGGGAAGGTGCTCCTAGCTTGTGGAAATGCTGGGCCATAGAGTGCCTGAGAAATGAGAGAAGTCCCCAGGAGCAGCCACAGGTCCCACCAATGGGATGAAGGCAGCTGGAACTTCAGCCTCTGAACTGTGGGGTATGGGAGCGCTCTCCTCCAGGAGGGATGCTGCAGCTGTCCTTTGGCTGTGGGTAGCAGGATTGGCAGCCCTAAGAACAGCAGATAGGGCTGCTGATAGCCCCCAGGCCACAGGACCCCCTTCACCTCCCACACCATGAGCCTTCCCAACTCGTGTAGTGCTGCAACTGGCCAGGGGCTCCTTGCAGGCAGCAGCAGTGGGTCTAGCGGCTGAAGCAGGCAGAACTCTTGCCCCAGGAGGAACAGCCCTTCTCACAGGGCACTGGCCGCAGGCGCTGTAGACGTCTGCAGTGGAGCAGCAGATGTGGGCACTGCCCCAACCCAAAGAAAATAACAGCTCAGACCCCCATAAATCGATTTTTCTTTATTGGGTCACTAACATACACACATGCAGCACTATCCATCTGCAAAGCATGCTGCTCTTAGTAGGACATGTGCTGCAGGAGAAGCAGGTCGTGGGCAGCCATGGGAACTGTGTTTTTGAGAAAATCAGCTGTTTCATGCAGCCATTGTGCTCAATGAGCCCGTGGACAGTGCAACAGGCTGCAATGTCACCCAGGGCCTCCCTGCAATGTGGTAGAGCAGTTCTGGGAAGCTTTGAAGTTGTCTATTCTGTGCATGTACCTGTCTTTGGGCTGCCTTCTTGGAGGCTTTGGAAAGGTGGGCCAATGCTCCTGCCATTGGTTTTGGTAAGGGAGATGTAACGGAGTAGCCAGGCTCAGGACACTGTAGAGAGAGAGTTTGTGCTTTTCAGCGAGGGAGAGCACGGAGCTGGTAGGCAGGAGGTACGTTGCTTATTCCACTCAGCGTTGCGGTTATGTTGAGTTCCTGGGGGTCGATGACAGGCTTCAAGGTAAAGTGCTGCAAGATGGTGGCTATGAGTAAGAATATCTCCATGCGTGCCAGGCCTTCTCCAGGGCATATTCGCTTCCCTGAAAGCAAAACCAGCAAATAGCACTCAACAGGTGTTGCCAGAGTTTGCACTAAGCAGATGTGTTGCGCAGCTTTAGCAGGCACAGCCGCAGCAGTGAGATGACTGTCAGGGTTACTAAGGACATTTGCAAGAGAAGAGTTTGTTGGAGAAAGCCCCTTGGTAGTTTGGTTGGGTGTGTGAAGGAAGAACAGGAGTAGGTCAAGTCTTAAACGTGGAGGGGGTATCACAGGAGGCAAGATGAGAGAGACCATGGTGATATAAGGCACGTGTGAGAAAACAGAGGGCTGGGGCTATTGGTAGGTGAGTTGGTTGCATGTACCCTGAGCTGTACTTAAGAGGTACTGGGGAAAAGTGGAGCTACCACAGAAAGACAGGTTGATTAAGTATAAGGAAGGTGACAGGTATCTTAGAAAGTGTCAATGGATCTGATTCACATCATTACATCGGCAACTCTTAGGAGGTTTGGGGACCCACCAGGCCCAAATGAGATGGGAGATGCAGCTGGGAAAGGGAGCAGCAGGGAAGAGTTCTCCAGAGGATAGTGAGCCCCACAGAAGCACTTGTGGACCATGCTGGCAAGAGGGAGTGTGTGTTATAGGGAAAGGCAGGGTGGTCTCCAGAGGAGGAGGTGGACAGAGAGAGGAAGAGAAAGAAAGCCTGTGCTTTACCTGCTGAGAAGGGTATGAAGAACTCACTCTTCCTAAAGGTGCCATTCTCATTCAAGAAATGTCCAGGATTGAACTCATTTGGGTTTGGAAACTCTTTACTGTCATGGAGGACAGAGCTGAGGATGGGAAAGATTGTGGTGCCCTGAGGTAACACAAGAAGAGTAGAACATGAAGGGGAGGTTAAGTTAGATCACTTAAATCCAACTGCCTGCCAAGTTAAGACTGAGCTTCCCAGCTCAGCCCTACCGGTGCCTTTGGTTTCCCTTTGGGGACCCTTCCTTTGGGAAGGCAGCTTTAGTAAGACCCTGCTAGATGTCACACCAGGGACAGTTGTTGGCTGCTCTTCCTGAATGCTCCCTCTCACTTTCAGACCATTTATCCTCACCTTACTCTGGTGATCTGGGAACACCCCACATAATTCTTCCTCTTTCTTAGTATTTCACAATAATGAATTTGTAGCTGCATTATGTTCCTACTTTTCTGCGAGCCCCCAAAGGCAAAAGCACACAAGGTTGTGGAAATGAAACTCTTTTCCCCTCTCCTGACAAATTTCTCCTGCCATGATCCTCCTCCTTCCCTCTTCCTGGCCAGCCATTGATGGGGAGGGAGAATATAAATATTCCAGCAATGATGACACAAGAGCCCTCAGCTGGAAGCTGAGCAGTTCCCCAGATCCTGCCTTTTGATTTTACACAGACAGCTGAAAATCAAAATGCCAACAGCTTGTGTGCTGCTGTTCCCCTGCTGTACAGGTCACCCGTAAGATAGGATGTAACATCAGCATTGCTGCAGTGGGTCAGGCCAGGTCATGGGTTGCTCTAGCCCATCAGCCTGCCTCTGGCAGTGGCCAGCAGCAACTGCCTCAAGAAGTGCATAAGAACAAGGCAAATGGGTTATGCTTGTTCCTGTGAAAGCAAACATAACCTCCAGCACTTTGTGGCTCAGGGGCTTTCTGTGCCCAATAACTACCAACTGACTTTGCTTCCAATCATGTGCACAGGCTCTCCTGGATGGTGTTAGGCAGTTCCGTGGCTTTGCTGCCTTTTGTGTGAGGAGTCACTACTCTGTTTTTTTTATGAACCCACTGTGTTTCTGCAGATAGGTAAAGTTGCAGAGCAAGGGAGCAAAGGTGTGGGGCAGAGCTACTTCCAGTCTTGGCCCATGGAGAGGCAACAAGGTGATATCCATTTGGGACAACAAAGGGATTGCAAGTGAACTACAGGAGCCTGATGATAACACCTTCATGAAGGGCTGGGTGACAGCAAGGTCAGGCCACAGCTTTTCTAGCTTCTGGCTTGTAACTAACACCCTAAGAGCAAATGTGCTGCCACCTTGTTGTTGAACTTGAGGGAGTTTGCCCACTAACCTTGGGAATGACGTATCCTCTGAAGCGGGTGTGTTTGGTCACAGTGTGAGGGAGAGCCAGGGGGACGAGGGAGATGAAGCGCTGGATTTCATGGACCACCGCATCCGTGTAGGGCATCTGGGTCCGGTCAGCCACACAAGGTCTTCGTGATCGTCCTACTACCCGGTCAATCTCTTCCTGAACTTTCTCTGCCGTGAGAGGCACAAACCATAAAATTGGTAAATAAAACCAAGCCTACCTAAACAGGTTTCCCTAAGCTGTCCACAAATCACAAATGACAGGAGAATTAAAGTTGGTGTTAGTAGTGACTAGAACACAGGTCCACTGCAGCCCGTGCAAAGAATGTCCTCTTAGTGACTTGACTAAATAGGAGTACTAGGAGATAAAGACGTGGACATGGTCAAGTCCCTGGCTGTGAGGAGAGTGCAGCTGATGATGATGCAGTGAGGCTGAGGGATCTCTAATGGCCACCCTGGGGAATGACAGTGTAAGGACTTTGCCCATTTGGGTAAAATATGAGAGAGAGAGGAGAAATGTTGGGAGAAGAGTGTGGTGGTAGACACGCACCCAGGCCAGGGGAATAGCTAGACAGGAAGAGGTCACAGACTGGTACCTTGTATCTTCGGGTATTTGAGAAGAAGCAGAAGCCCATATCTTATAGTGGTGCTAGTTGTCTCTGTTCCAGCAATGAACAAGTCAAAGGTGCTGGTTATCAGGTTCTTCATGTGGAAACTGGAATTGGGATGCTCTTTCTCCTAGAGAAAAGGCTGGCCTGTTTCTCTGGCTGAGCTGAGAAAAGTGGCCCTTTCTTGTGTCATCCCAGGCCTTCCTTTTCATCTAGAGCTGTTGCATTTCTCTGCTAAGGTGCAGCAGCCATCTGGGACATTGCAATGCTATCTTTGTGCACTAAGCTCAACCCCAAAGCAACCTTCTTTCAAGCTGTGCACGGAATGGTATGTAGCTGCCTGTTTGCCCTTGCTGTGCCAACTGCTTGCCAGAAAAAGAACTACAAGACCAGACTGCAAATGTATCTGTGTGAGCAGATGAAGGTCTTGCTGTCCAAGCAGTTGCAGGTAGTGGCTGGTGAGCATGCAGACCCAGAGCTATAAGCTTTAGCACAGGCAATATCTGAGGTATCATTGGTGTCTTCCCACTGCACAGCCCAGCTGCCTGGGAAGGGGTCATCCCAATGTCTGTGTTACTTCGGAGAGGGAAGGGGCTCGGTGTAGGTGTGTTTGGGTATGAGCTGGGGCTGTATGCTGTCTCCTTACCTCCTGCATTTTGCTGAGGAAACAGTCAATGAAATCTTGAGGGGAGTTGGGATCTAGGGAGGCTTGGTGCATCTTCACCTCCTCTGACACAAAGGCTTTTAGAGCATCAAATTCTGCGAAAATGTTGTTGTGTGGGCCAGGCAAGTAATCCAGGACCTTTGAAAACATCTGGTAGAGCTGGAAGGAAAGAAACAGGAAGGTCCCTTGCATGACCATTGCCCATCCTTTGATATTAGCAAAAAGCCTAGGAAGGCCACAACCCTCTCAACTGAACCAAGCAGAAAGACTATGAGGCTGAGCAGTCTGACAGGGTGGTAAGGGCTTGCTTAGTAGCAGTATGAACCTTAGAGGTGGAGAAGGGTATTCAGGACTAGGGGGAAGCTGCACTTAGCTGGCAAAGCCAACTCCATTGGTGAGGGTGCTTCTTGCTCTTGAATGAATTCCCTCCTGTGCAGCAGAGCATTGATGGTGTCCTAGTCAGAAGACTGAAATGGGACTTCATTGCAAGAGAGACCTCCTGCTACCCTGGGAGGATGTTGCCACTGTGAAATGGCTACTGAATGTACCTGTCCCCAGTGGGAGTTCATCATCTCAAAGATGTTGTTCATGTTGTTCATCAGGGACAGGAACTTCTTGTCTTTATAGTCATATCGTTTCCCAAAGACAATGCAGCATATGACATTGGAGACAGCACAGCTCAGCATGAAGGTTGGGTCAAAAGGTGTTCCTGTGATTTCAGAAAAGTTACAAACCATAAAACCAAACCAAACCTAACTATGGCTACTTATGGCTACTGTGGGTAACCTGACCTCTGGTTGTTAGTGGAAACACCAGATCACAGTCTCTGAATGACACAGAAGGGTCCTCCAAAATGAACAGTGTGCGATCAAGGAATTATTTATTGCTTTGTAAAGAGGGGTAGCTGGTCCATGGACCAAACACATGGGAACTTCAATTCTATGCTAAAGACATGGTCTCCCTTAATACAGTCCTCTTTTTGCAAACATAAGCTATATTAAAAATGGACCATACTCTTTGTTTTGTTGATCTCTTCCAGCAAGTGTTCAGTTTCATCCTGGATCCTCTCTTCAATGCTCCTCTTCCCCATTCCAAAGTTGCGCAGAGTGCTGAGAGCAAACCGCCGGACTTGTAACCACTCCTCATTGTTGCTAAAAACAATCCCTGCAGAGGAAGAAGGAAGAGGGAAGACTTGGCTTGGGTGTGCTGGGTGATGATGAACAGAGGCTCACAGTGACAGTGAACCCTCTTCCCTGGGAGAGCACTGACACGGTAGTGTCACAGAGTACTGTGGTTTGGAAGCAATCTCTGGAGGTTCTGTAGTCCAAATGCCTGCTTTTGGCCTTTTCCACCACATACCCAATCTCCTTGTGAGCAATTCATCACTCATATCTGCACATAATTTCCCTTGCTGCAGCTGGTGGCTGTTGCTCTTGCTCTTTCACTGCCCATCACTCAGATCAATCTGGCTCCATTTCTCTGCTACTCTCTTTGTGTGGTGGAAGCCCACTCTGTCTTCCCTTATCCAGGTGGGACCCACTGACTCACCAGTCTTCCCTCATGCATGGTACGCTCCATCTCTAATCTACCAAACGCACCCTCAGCCCTTCCCTTCTCCTCAGAAGGAGCTCAGTCAGCAAACATACCTAATCCATTGTTAGCCCTGTCTCCTATTGCCATGTGTCCTCTGGCAGCAAACTCATCTGCACGATCAACCAAGGCTTCTTTCACCACATCATGTCCATGCAGCACCACCACTGGGTCAGAGCCCAGGTGCACTGTGAACACTGGTCCATACTCTTCACTGAGCTGTCAACATATAAGAAAGAACATGGCCATAGAGCAGATAGGGAGAAGTTGAAAAGTGTCCTTGCTGCTTCATCCCACTGCAGGCAGTGCAGCCTCAGCAACCAGCAATGTCCAGATTTGGTCCTCTCATGATAAATGTGGGTGTGGAGAGGGTTCCCAGCTATCAGGACCTGAACAACAATGGCAACAGCAGTGAGGGGGAGCAGCTGAGATCTCCATGACTTTTCTGCTCCTCTGGGATTGCTGCTCATCAAGCTATAGCCACAGGTTGTCCCACACACATTTCTCACCAACAGAAGAAAGTGAGAGAGAAGAAAGTGACCTTACCTTTTTGAGGGTTTTGGACAAGTTCTTTGGTTTCACCTGCAGCAGATTACCTAGGATGGGAAGGGGAGCTGGTCCTGGCGGCATCTTCCCCGTTCCAGACCTCATTTTCCATGCTGTGAAGGAGAGTAGGCAAGCAATGCAAACCAGGAGGACAACAGTGGCTGCTCCCAGGAGCTCCATTTGCTTCTGCAGCTCCCGAGGGAGTGACTCTGGTTGCCAGAGCCTGAGTTTATATACTGAACAGCTATGTTAGCTATGTTATGTCAATAGCAGATTTTGGATCATGTGGCTGAGTTAGTCAATGTTACTCGTCAATCATTTGCTAGACTGCCCTGTGTTAAGAAACCAGGACTTCTCTAATTGGTCATTGAAGACACGCATTGTCTCAGACAACTGAAGAGGCCAACAGAGGTTAAGAAATTTATAATGTGCTCATAAAATTTGTTTTGTTTATCCTAAAGATCATTGTTAAAGAGATCACACTAGGGGCACACTCTTCTACTAAGGTGCTCCCAGAAATTCACTATCACAAGGGCATCTTACCAGTACTTCAATGGCATTTGGGTTTTTTTATTCTTCAGTATTAATTGTACAAGCTTTCAGTGGAGTGAGCCACTTTCACCGCTGGTTCCTGAAGTCTTCCTGACATTATCAGTGGAGTTCACACTGATAATGTGATGTGCCAAAGAACATGCTGACGTGTTCTCAGTGCACAGCAATTGCCTCAGTCTCTCTCCCTAGGCATGTCTGGCCTCACAAGAGAGGAAAGTGTAAAATACTTCTTTAGCAAGGGCAGAAAGGTCTCTAGTGTGTCTCATCACAATATATAAGAAAGGACTTGCTGGGAGAGATAAGATAAAGACATAAGAAAAAGGGATTAGACCTTGGGAGTCTGATCTCTTCAAAGTCTCCTAGAGGAGAGAAAGAGTGAGACAAGTAGGTAGAGAACAGAGAAATCAAGAACTTGAGACTATCTCTGTGGAATGGCTTCCCAAGCTGAAACAGAGCTGCACTTGTGAGGGGCTGGGTATAGGTTAGTGGAATCTGGCAAGTAGTCCTTGCAATGACCAAAGAAGCCCACCCAACCTACTACTGGAAGGTGGCATGCACAAGTTCCTGGTTTGTTGATGTCTGACTCCACTATGAGGAATTGCTCCTCTGGAAAGGCTAAAGGTGCAGGGCATGTCTGGTGTGTTGCAAGGACTTCAAAAAGAGCTGGAGCCTTCCTGCCCAAGATTAGTCCAGGCAGGGGCTGCGTACCTGTGAGGTCCCAACAGCAGTGGCAGGTAGAAAGGACCCTCAGGGCTGTGGCTCAGCTTGCTCAGTCTGGCTATATCCCTTTTTCTCTCCTGAGCTGTGGCACTTTTACAGGCAGACAGATCTCATCCAACTGAGCAGAAGGTGTTTTGAGGATAGGGGATGTGAGACTTGGTGGGAATTAGCAAGGGGCCTGGGTGAACCAGGTGCTTGGTTGGAGTGTGCTGGGTTTGCTGCGCAGCAGTGTGTTATGTGAGTTTTCCCCTTCGCTCAGAGGTGCTAGTGAGGGTCTCCATCCCTTGCAAAAGTTTCTGTAGCTTCCTTTATGAGTTCTTAAGTCATCCTCTCTCTTTTGCATAGACACAATAATTTTCTAGTTCTTTTTAAATCTCATTTCACTTCTTAAAGACCCATACTTGATACTTTGGTGGAAAAACTGAATTGCCAACAAGTTTGGGCCTGTCACTGATCTGCTGGCCCAAACTCCTGCATCAGCTCAGATATTGCCAGGGCAGTTCATGGAAGTTCATGTAGCTCTAGGCACTTCCAGCTGGTGAAAGTGGAGTTCATGGGAGTTTGCACTGCTACATGAGGTCTCTGTGCTGCCAGCATTTAGGACCCTACCACTTTCCCTGTAAAGTTCCCTCATTCCTGGACACAAGGGTTCACTTCTCAGCTCTGCCTCACAGTTTGTGACATACTTTGGGCAAAAGCCCTGGAATTAGGAATACTTTCAATATTTCTCATTTTTACCAGGATAAAATAATTATATTCCAAATATACCCACCACCCTGGCAGACATGCTGGGGATTTACAAGGGAGGAAAATTAGTAAGACTAGTCACTCAGACCTTTCCCTCTGGGAAACCACAGTCCTTTTCATGTCACAGTAGCGTCCAAGAGTTTTCTGTGTACTCACTTTGGTTTTCAGACCCTAAGAGTAGGCAGGGCTGGTCTGTCCTCTCCATCCATGTGAAAATCCAGGAGGGCCAGGCTGAAATCCCCTCCTCTGCATCTTCCCCAGGAACTTTGGTTTTAAGTTCATTGGATGTATGTATTAGGGATATTCAAATAAAAGGCACCAGTGTTGTAGCTTTGCCTCTTTTTTTTCTAAAATAAAACACAAGCTTGAAGAAAATCTGTCATCATTCTGTAGAAACTCCTACAGGCTTGCCACATGCGCCTTCTCTTTTTGGACCTCTGTTCAGAAGGTGGCACTGCTAAATGCCTCTCCTGCCTACTGTGCAGCCAGCACCCCTCATCCCTGGGATACTTGGTGCAGATATCCCTGCTGTCTGCAAATGCTGTCCAGCTTCTGTGGAGGAGTGTTTTGACTGAGTCACTCCTCCATGCACTGCCATTTTGTACCACATACGGTGCACGGTACAGGCCAGACACACAGCAACCTTGTCAGAGGCAGGCCCACAATGTGCAGGGCATTTTGTGCTCTTTTTCCTGGCACTTCTTGGTGGTGGTGCTTAATACGTCCTTTTCTTCCCACAGGTCTCTAGAGAACTTTCTACAGCCAGGGCAACCCCTACACTGCTGCTATGTCTGCCCCAGTCTCCCAGTCTCAGAATTGTTAGGAGGAGAGGATTTTCCTGATGGATGTCACAGGAAGATGTTTGCTTGCTGGGGTCATGATCAGCTTCAGGCTAGTGGCCTACAGAGACATTTGCTTCACCCACCTTCATCCTCTGCATGTACTGTTTGTGGTGATCTTGGGTGCTAGCTAAATTGGTGCTTACAGCTGAGTCATTGTGATGTGTGAGAACTGTTGAATGGATGAGGAAGAGATTTGTGAAGAAGAGAGACCTGCCCGTTTCCTCTCAGACAGGCTGCTTTGCCTCCAACAACTTCTTTCAAACAAAGCACTTAATTTCCTTTAATTTGAGGCTCATTTCACTTGCCTCCCATCTCCGCATCATCCAACATGGCTGTCAAGTGTATGTGTGCGTACCTTGAAACTGCTTTCAGCATGGATATTGCTTCATGGATCTACAGCATTCCCAGTGTTGTTTCACATAGAGTTATTCTTCAAGTACCTGTAGACATTTTTCCTGTCAGCATAAACAAAGTATTGGTGGGTTAAAGTGTAATGAAAACTATCTCTCTATAGCTCCAAAGTACTTTGATATTTTGTTATTGTTTACCCAATTATCAGCAGGTAACTCAGTCAAATGAACCATTCAGTAGTCACACAGTGGTTGTGAGATTTGGGCAAGCTGTCTTGGCACAATGCCCAGCATCTACAGAGATAAAGCCTCCCTCCCTGCCAAAGTCCAAATGTTACTCCCAGGTGCCTCTCTACTGTGGCTGCCTGGTGCCCAGGCGGGCGCTGGAACAAGCACATTTGGTTCACGCGTGCTGCTCAAACAGCAGCCACGCAGGCAGCCTGTCGAGATCCATTTGCTTCCTCTTTGCAGTGCAGAGCAGGTGAAAAGGTCTTGTACTTTGTGGAACAGCCCTCCTGGCTGGTGCATGAAATAAGCACCGTGCAGGGTAGGCACAGTGATGTCCTTCACCCAGCTGGGGTCATGACATCCTATACAGCTGTAGAGGAAAGACAGGTTGTGGGCTAAAGTGGGAAACCAGAGAAAATGCTTCCCTTGGACTTCGCTACTGCCCATGTCTGGCTGGAGAGGTGAGCGCACTGCCTGCTGTGCAGACGTCCAGGAGCTGGAGGGTCTGCTGAGAGCAGAAGTGTGGATGGTCACCAATGGAAGTGTATTACTAAGGGTCAAGACTAGAAATGCTACTCATCTAACCCACACATCATGCTGGGATGTGTGTGATGATCTAGTCCAAAGAAACAAATTACAAAAGAACATGATGGCACAGGCTATGCCAGTCCTCCCACTGCAAAAAGACATAAAAAGGCACGCACCAACTACAGGTGCATCACTTCTGCAACAGTGTAAAGACATTCATACTGCCACTGCATGAATGCAGAAACATTTGCATGGAAAGATAGACAATAAGACTTCTACTCAGTGTGGGTGCTGTAGCCTGATGTGTGCCTAGGGAGAAGGCTCTACATGAGATGTTGCAGTTACAGGCAGGCAATGGGTGCTGGCAGGCAGAGGCAGCCTCTAGGATCACAGAAGCTCCTGTGTTTCAGGTCCATCTTAGGGGCCCACCTGTCAGCTTTTGGAGTGGGGGTCCCACAGAGCGTATGGTCCTGCCACCTAGCAGCCAGGGCTTGAATAGTCCTGCAGCTATCGCCACACAACCACAGTGCAAACAGGTCTGTAGTCCACAGACAGGAATGCTTCAGGGGAATCACCTCCTTTTAAGTGTGCAAAGCCTCCTGAACTCCATAGTTTTCCACAGGTTTCATGTGAAGGGTTATTTCTACACTTACATATCAACACCTTGTGTCTGGCATTTGAAGCAGTGGCACCTTTAAAAAAGCAAAAGAGCATTGCAACTCAGCTTCTTGCACTTGTGCCAGGTAATGAGCAATTAGAGCAGCAGTAGGGTACATGGGGAAAAGCAGGTGGATCTTCTGGATGGGCCAACGGTGGGAAGAACTCCGGGTGAGAAAAAAGATTTTGAAGACCCTCCTGGGGCTCTACAGTAAATTGCACAGATGAGGTCCTCTCAGCTTAGTGATACGAATACAGACCCATCTCTTGACATAAACTCAGCTCCTGCCCTGTGGTTTTCTTCAAAGGGTGCAAGCAAAATGTGATGGGTTCAGAGCCAGGTGACAGTAATGGAAGATGTTAAACTGCTAGGCTAGGTCCACCTGGACACTACAGGAATTTCTGATCCCAGCTGGCTCCACAATTTAAAAGGGCTAGGCTAAGAGCAGCTACTTTATGCTCCTTAGCAAGAGAGCAGGATGGGTGTTGCAGGGCAGTCCAGGACTGCATTTGGAGCTATGCTCTTCTGGGGGTTTCTTGGTTCCCTTGCTTTGGTTGTGGGGGCTCAGGGTAAT